CTGGTCAGTAGCACTAGGAATGTAATGTAGCACTAGTCATGTAATATTGTATACAGTTATTATGCAATCCAAATATTTTTTTCAAAATCAAACATTTTAGTTTTTGTCTGATTAATCATGGCATTTACTGAGCATATGATGACTACCAAATTGCCATAGTGTCTGTAGTGCCCATAGCATTGGCTCTGTGCTATATAGTCATGGCAGTGTGATCTATAGCACCCATAGCACTTTATAGCACTGGCAGGTACCTCTATAGCAACTGCAGGCAGCTCCATAGCAACCATACAAATTGACATTGCTATGGAACTATGGATGCTATATTGGACTATGTAGTGCTGTATAGTCATGGGATTTTTCTCAGATGTTATCATGGTCTTGGAGTATAATTCGACCTCTTCAAAGCGCATTCGACGACTCTCTACACCGAGCTCCTTGCACGCCTCGAGAAAGCTGGCCTTCGCAAGCGAAATCGAGTCGATTCCATTCGGAAACGGCTGCGTTGTCGCGAGGGTGACCCTGAAGTGTGTGCCGGCGAGCTTCGATATCGACTTTGACGGCGGGGACTGCTTCCCCTGTAGACATCCAATGGCGCGGATAGGGTCGTACGGTGAGTATTGTCTTGATCCCTTGGTGGACTTCTGCGGGGTACGCTCAGACGGCGGAGTCGAACTGCGGGATGATTGTGTCGAGTGGCGCCGTGAGTGAGTTGTCTTGTTGACCTTTTTCCGCGGTGGAAGGTCCTTCGCAACCGCCTTCGGAGTACTGTTGATAATCTGGAAGGTTAACATGGCGTGCATGTGAGCATACGACATCGTGGACATTGTGAATAGAGGAGACAGAGTACGTGGGGAAGGTGCTTTGCGTTCACGCGTCGACGCTTTGACACCGGTTCTGCCTCCCCCTCGTCTTCCTGCTCCTCAACAGACTCCGCGTCCTCTTGTTCTTCGTCGGTACCCTTCGTATGAATGTCTTCTATGGACCTGTACTTCCAGTCTAAACATGTAGGACATGATCAATGATCAGTGATTCAGAAAGCTCGGCGACGTACACGCAGCATTACGCTGATCCGCCTCAAAATCACTCTCATCTTCTGTTACACCAGTACCACCGTTTGCCTTTGAGCTCATAAACAGGTTTGCTTCGTCATCGTCATCTGACTGATCCTTGTTGTGCCGGCGAGACGAGTTCTTGGCCTTGTTACTTGCTGATGCGGTCACGGTAGCGGAGCTGGTCGACACTGCAATACCCATGAGAAATGCCTGACGACAACCAAGAAAGTATCCCTTACCGGTGCGTTTGTGGCCTTGCGATCGCGATGACTTGCGCCTTGCATTGACCGGCGTTTCCAGAGCCGTTCGTCCACGTTTCTGCGCCGCTTTCATGACTGGGGCCTGCGTGATAGCGATCGAGAAGGTCTATAGCGGTCGGGACTGTCTATAGCAAGTATAGAAGAGGCGTACGTGGCAAGCGCTTGGCTCTCGATGGTCGCACTTCAAGCCGGAGGACTACCCTTCACCTCTGCACACTGACCGACGGTGAGTTTTCAATCACCGGGGCAACTCCGACCGCTCATACTTCGTCACTCAGCGCTCAATTCACGACCCTTCGTTGCTCACTGGCAGCATTCTGCGTGCTCGGTGCTCCAAGATAGTCGCACGTCGAATAACTACTTCGAAGCTTGGACAACCGGCAAGACTACACGGCCTTTTACGAACAGTCAAACAATCACAACAGCGCCAACACGGCTTCGACGCTTTCATTCCCAGCTGAAAGCCCGCGTCTCCCCTGCGTTCACTAACCAAAGGTGAGTTAGTCATTTCTCGGTGCACCGCCGGGCACTCATGCTTTGTTTAATCAGTCTTTGATTGCACCTACGATTCTATCAATGCCTGGCAGCTTTGCATGTACCGGATGCCTCAAGACGTTTGCATCCAATGGCTACCTCCATAGCCACCAACGGCAGTCTGCCTCATGCAGATGGCTTCATGAGCTACGCTACAAGGCTGACCCTGCCCCTCTTCGGGACTATGCCGATGCTAGCGACCAGGAGGATGACCCGCCTCATGCTCACCTGGATGATCCGCAAAACTACATGCCCGGAATGTGCTCGGAAGACGACGGGAGCATGGATTATAGTGATTACGATCAGCGGACCGGTGCAGCACCATTTCAAGCACCATTCGACCCTCATACGCCTCCGCGTCAAGTTCGTTCGCAGCCGCTTCACGACCCGTTAGAACGGGTAGTCGCGGAGAAAGCAGTTGATGCTGATCCCGCATCGACTGTCGAGTATCGCGGCGCTGGCAAAATTCTGCGGTATGACGAGGATGTTCGTGCACGCCTGGAATCGGCCAGGACAAGCGAAGCATCGGTCTATGAGCCTTTCAAGCACGATCTGGACTTTCAGCTCGCTCGGTGGGCCAAAGAAGAATGCATTAGCGCAAATGCCCTTACGCGCTTGCTCGAAATACCTGAGGTACGTTGCTTGACCCGGTCTCGTCACTGTCTGCTTATCCATGGTCAGGTCGTTGATCGCCTCGATCTCTCATACCACAACGCTCGATCTCTCAATCAGATGATCGATCAGCTACCTGGTAACCCGCCCTGGATGGAATCGGACTTCTCGGTAGTCCACGAAACGCACGGCGTAGTCACCCAGAAACTGCGCTTTCGAGATCCGCTGGAATGCATCAAGTCCCTCTACGCCAATCCCGACTTCACAGACCATATGAGTTACGCGCCTGTGCGTGACTTTTGTGATACGGAGAACACGCAACGCATGTACAGTGAGATGAACACGGGAGATTGGTGGTGGGAAACCCAGGTACGACTCGCCTCTGTTACTTGTTGCGCTTGCGAATCTCATGACGATACAGGCGAAGTTACCGGACGGTGCGACCGTCGTCCCGGTGATCCTGAGCTCGGATAAGACTCAGCTATCCACGTTCAGTGGTGATCAGCAAGTCCACCCTGTGTATCTCTCGATAGGCAACATCTCGAAGGATATTCGCCGAAAACCTTCCTACCATGCACAAGTTCTCATTGCGTATCTTCCCATCACCGACATGTCTCACCTTCCCGATGACGTTGCCCGTGTCATGCGGGCACGCTCTTTTCATGCGGCCATGCGCGTTGTTCTCAGGTCGCTCGAGGATGCGGGGAAGACAGGTGTGGAGCTTACCGGAGGGGATGGTGCCGTCCGGTTGGCATTTCCCATCGTTGCAGTGTATGTCGCCGATCATCCAGAGCAAAGTCTGGTCTGCTGCACTCGGTTCGGACAAAGATGCCCAAAATGTTCGGCGGCGGCTACTGATTTTGCCAAACATCGCCTGTCCTCCTGGACTCTTCGGAAGCAAACGGATACCCTACATAACCTCCGGCGTGCGCAGGCGCATGGCTCGTATCGCAAAGCCGAGGCAGCTCTCAAAGCCGCCGGGTTAACCCACGTCGACGACCCCTTTTGGGCCCATCTCCCCCACTGTAATATTCACTCCGCCATATCGGCTGACGTACTACATCAACTCTACCAGGGCATGCTTATGCACCTAATAGAGTGGTTGACGGCTCTTATTGGTGCATCAGAGCTTGACGCCCGCCTCCGACGCTTGCCTGAAACCCACGGAGTCCGCCATTTCGCAAACGGCATCAGCGGTTTGGCTCAAGTTTCTGGCCCCGAACGCAAGCAGATGGTTAAACAGCTCCTTGGCTGCGCTGTTGGGGCTATTAGCCCGCGTGCTTTGCGCGCAACCCGGTGCTTATTCGACTTCATATTTATCGCGCAATACATCAGTCATTCGGACGAAACTCTCCAATATCTCGATGAAGCTCTCGCGGGGTTCCATGCGGATAAGCAAGTTTTCATTGACGAATGTGCACGCGCCGGTATGTTCTCTGATATTCACCTCTACATATACTAACGAGATACGACATCGCAGTGCCGAACTTCAACATCCCAAAGTTGCACATGCTGTCACACTACGTCGACGGCATCCGGGCCGTCGGTACAACGGACAACACGAACACGGAAACGTCGGAACGGCTTCACATCGACAACGCCAAGCGTGCATATGATGCCACGAACAAGAAGCAAGACTACGTGGAACAAATGACGCGGTGGCTCGAACGCTACGAGAAGCTTGCGCTTCGCGACGTACACATCCGCTGGTATACCAACACACTCCCGCCACCTCCGCGAACTCGCTCGCGACGGATGAAGATCTTGCCGTGTGGTCCCACGTTGTCGAAGTTTCCGCATGTTACGGCTGTTTCATTCACCTCTATTGCTTCCAACTACCACGCACCCCGCTTCCTGGATGCGCTCCGGGCATTCATTGCTATTTCGCGATGCTCCACCGAACGTGAACGTGCAGCCGCTCGGCGCCGGAATCATGATAATCTCGAGGTGCCGTTCAACTGGGTAGACGTGTGGCACCGTGCTACGTTCGTCATATCCAATATTCAGATTGACGGAGCGCCTGACTTCGTCACGACACCTGTCGCTAACCCCTTTGGAGGGCGAGACCGGTCGGGCCGCTTCGACACCGTCCTGGTTGATGTTGCGGACGCCGACGACACGGGCATTGAAGGTCTTGGCGTTGCGCGTGTACGAGTCTTCTTCAAGGTCCCTGAGCAGTTCAGTAAAGCAATGTTCACTGACTACGGAGTGTCTTCGCCGGGACATCTGGCATTTGTGGAGTGGTACACCCCACCGTCGTCGAAGAATCGGCACCACCAGATGTATTCAGTGACACGGAAGCGAGGACAGCCAAAGGTGGGGATCATTGAGGTTTGCAAGATTCGGAGGAATTGTCAGCTTTTCCCGATGTTCGGGGAGAAAGCTGACAAGTCATGGTCATCGACAAATGTCCTTGATCGCTGCGAAAAGTTTCTAGTAAATAACTTCCAGGATCAACATGCTTATCAGTCCCTATGGTAGGAACAGATAATAAGCTTTGTACTGTTGTACTGTAATGTATAGCTATTATCCTAGACATAACAAGACTGTTTAGTTCAACTGTGAAGTGATTCAAGTTCTTGAATTACTCGCACCATTGCATGGATGTGGAGGCTTACTATGCCTTCTATGGACTCTATCCAACCACCTGGTTCAACTACAGATGCTATAGAAGAGGTACCTGTCATCTATACATGCTATTCACCTAGGGAATCGTGCTC